GGATATAGAGGTAGAGTAGTTCAAAAAAAACCTTTTTTAACTTTAAAACAAATGAAGCGTCGATTAGAATTTGCAAAGAAGTACGAAAAAATGCCGATATCTTATTGGAAAAAAATTTTGTGGTCAGATGAGTCCAAACACAACCTTGTCTCATCGGATGGAGTTCAAAAAGTGTGGCAAAAAAAAAAAGAAGCTTATAAATTAAGTTGTTTACGAGGTAGTGTAAAGCATGGAGGAGGAAATTTGATGGTTTGGGGTAGTATGATTTGGAAAGGGGTAGGGAACTTGACAATTATTGATGAAAAAATGGATGCTTCAATGTATTGTGAAATTCTTAAAGCCAACTTGCGACCATCTACTACAAAATTGAGAATGGGAAAGGATTTTATACTGCAGCAGGATAACGATCCAAAACATACTGCTAAGAAAACAAAGATATACTTTGACACAAATAACATCAATACTTTGACACAAATAACATCTGGTTCTTCACTGTATATATATATATCAGTGAAGAACCCAGACGTGTTTTAGTACCGTTTTACCGGTATGGGCGCCCTAAAAAAAGCGCCCAAAAATTATTTTTATTTTCAATTTTTCTTTTGATTTTTTATGAAAAATAGAAAAAAAAATTAGTTTTAAATGCAATAGTGTATAAATAATTCTCAGTTTAATTTAGCTACCTCATTTTTTCTTCAGGAAAATAAAAAGAATTAAAAAAAAATTGCTTTTTTACGTAACTATGTGACGTAATTTGCTTTTGGTTATTAACTGGACATAACTTTTAAAAAAATGAAAATCGTTATAAAACTTAATTTTAAAACCACGTTGCAAAATTTTATAACAATGAAAGGTATAAAAGATTTGCTTTTTTGAAAGATAAAGCGCTTTTAAATAATTATTCAGCATAAAATTAATTTTTGTTTTTGGCAATTATGAGTAAACTGCTTTTGATAATAAATGAACAAAAGTAAAAAATATCTGTCCCTTGTAACTATCGCGCAAGTTTAATTTTTAAATGAATGAACTTTTGATTTTTAGCTTGCTAAGGTTTCAATAACTTAATAAAAGTTTAATTTAGATCTGTTTATAACCCATAGTTAATGCAATTTATTTATTCAAATGTAATTTTTTAAATTATTATTAATAATTAAAAAAATGTATTTTTTAAAATAAATGTTTTCAAAAATATAATATGGTTTTTAATCAAGATAATAGAATATTTTTTAAATTATTTTTACTGTAATTATTTAAAAATAAACTCTCTCTCTCTCTCTCTCTCTCTCTCTCTCTCTATATATATATATATATATATATTATATATATATATATATATATATATATATATATATATATATATATATATATATATATATATATATATATATATATATATTTATATATATATATATATATATATATATATATATAGAGAGAGAGAGAGAGAGAGAGAGTGAGAGAATTTGAAATCAAGCAGAACGGTGTTAAAAAGTTCAAACTGATTATTCAAAAGGATATATACATAAATGTATATGTGTATATATATATATACATATATATTATATATATATATATATATATATATATATATATATATATATATATATATATATATATATATATATATATATATATATATATATATATATATATATATATATATATATATATATATATATATATATATACTTTAGGCTTGAAGCAAGATCATAATAATATTATCTTCGCTCCAAGCTTAAAGTAGTAGCATTTTCCAAGCGAAAAAATTAACCAATACAATAAAATAAAAACAAAATAAAAATAAAATTTATGTGAGTTTTTTTCATTAGCAAACAGCGCTTATATATAAAATAACTGTCATTCAAACTTTTGTAACAAATAGTTTTACATAATCGTCATTCAAAATTCAATGTGATTTTTTTTTAAATTATTTACTTCTTTTATTTTACTGCTAATAGAATAATCTTAAGTTAAAAAATGATAAAAAGTTGCTTAACCGAAATCGCTTACTGCTTACGCAAATCGCTTTATGTGTAACGCTTTAAAATAAGACCTGCATTATCATAGCCAATGATAAGGAATGAACTTTAAAAACTCCAGTAGAAAAAAGTTATTAAAACTAAGTATATTAAAATTCTTACTTGTACAATTCGTGCTAAATGGCAATCGGCAGCTAACTCTAGACCTTGTCTTTCTGCCCATGCTTCAACATAACTCAAACGAATACGTAAACAATTTCCCCATAGTCTGGTACACAATCGAAGATCTGGCTCTAGTATAATACGATTGAAAACCCACATGTTTATATAGTGAAAGAGTTGAGAAAAAAGTTGAATTGTTAGGGCAGCATTCACACGGCATCGACGAAGCAGCGACATAGCTGATGATAAGATGTAAAGAATGTCTGCCATTATTGGAACACCATGATGTTTTATACGCAAAGCTAGATTAGAAAAAAAAAATTAAATATGTAATAAATAGAAAAGTATAATAAAACATAATAGAACCAAAAAAACAACTATTGTTAAATTAAACTTTAAATTTTACAAAACACTGCTTCTGTTGTTTTAATTTTAATTAAAAGATTTTTTAATTAAAATTAAAACAGCACAAGCAGTAAACCAATTTTAATCTAAAACAGTGAGCTATAAGAACCTTATGTGACACTTTTTCTGAAAACTTTTTATTCTATTTTTATACTATTTTAAACTATTATCAATTATTAATTGGAAAAAAATATATTAATAACCAAAACAAAAAACTGATTGACAATCAACAACAACAACAAAAAGTTTTATATAACTATTTTCAAAAAAAAAAAAAAAAAACTTTTTTGGTTTTATTAGTTTATTAGTTTTATAATTTTTTAAATTTTATATATCATTCTGTTCAATTTTCATAAGGCCAACTATAATAATATCAACAAAAATTAAATTAATGTAAATTGGTACAAATTAGCTTAGCAACATCATAATGTTGAATTATTCTGGCACGTTATATCTGACAGTTTGAACTCAATCATTTTATCGCACACCAGTACTCCATAAAAAAAGATACAGTATTCAACCTTGCGCACTTTGAAATTTGGCATCTAAAAAACGTATTTTACAATGAAAATACAAAAGAAATTTTAATTTAAATTCTTTTATCAAATACAAGAATTGCTCACATCTATACGATGCCAAAATAATAAAAAAACGCTATCAATAAAGAGAAAGATTTTGTTAATAAAGAAAATATCAACAAATCTCTCTTTATCCATCAGCCAATACTGTTGTTGTCGATGACTTTAATGTTCATCACACAGAATGGCTTGGCTCTAATGTCAGTGACTCTGCAGGCATTAAAGCCCACAACTATTGCCTTTCTTAATCCCTAACTCAAACAGTCAACTTTCCAACTCACTTTCCAGACAACCCGAATCATTTAGCTTCACTACTCGACTTATGTCTTGTTTCTGATCCTAGTCAGTGCTCAGTTTCTCCACATTTACCCTTAGGTGCCTCTGATCACAGTTTGATCTCTTTAAAACTATTATCTCATTCTTCTTTATCATCAGAATCCCCCTATCATCGTATATCTTACAATGACCTTAAAGTTGAATGGGACTCTTTCTGTGATTTTCTTGGTGATGGCCCTTGGGTAGAAATCTTTCATCTTCCTGTTGACAAATGTGCTTCTTACATAACTGAGTGGATTCAGGCTGGCATGGAATCCTTTATTCCTTCTCGACGATTTCATCACAAAAATTAGGTTCTCCTGACTTCTGGAGAATCTTTATTGGTATCAATAATAAGGGCAAGCCAGTAATTCCATCACCTTTGTATGGTTCAAATTATTGCTGAGTCTAAGCAGAAAATTACTACAGCTTCTGTATCTAAAGTGATTTCCTGCTTAGACTCAGCAATAATTTGTCCAATATTTAAGAAAGGCAACCCTTCTCTACCAACCAACTACAAACCTATTTCAATGACCTGTATTATTTGCAAAGTTATGGAATCAATCATTGCTAAAACCATAAAAAACTATCTGTTAAAAAATAACACTATTTATAAAATAACACAATTTTCTCAACATCAATTCGATTTTATAAATTGCAGATACACATGTTCACAAATGTTGGCAACTTTAAACGAATGGACCACTGCCATAAATAACCAAAAAATAGTTGACATCATCTATATTGATTTTGAAAAAGCTTTTGATTTGGTAACTGATGTTCAAATTGCAATACTATGGAATTAAATATGAACAATTTAATTGCATTAAAAATTTTGTAACTAATCGCTTTTAATGTGTATGTGTTGGGACCTCATATTCTATAAACACTCCAGTTAAGAGTGGAATACCGCAAGGAACTGTACTAGGACCTATATTGTTCTTTATATTTATCAACAACATAGTTTATTGCACTAATGGAGAATATATATATATATATATATATATATATAATATATATATATATATATATATATATATATATATATATATATATATATATATATATAAAAGTATATATTCTGTTTTTATATTCTTTATATATTTTTTTTTTAATATATATAAAATAATATATATGTATATATATATATATATATATATATATATATATATATATATATATATATATATATATATATATCATACAATAATTTTATATGGTCATATTTTTTATATGGTCATAATTTTTCAAAAATTATGACCATATAAAGTTTTAACCCCCCTCAATTTAAGGGGGCTGTAAACTTTGTAGGGTCATAAAAACTAAAAACTAAGAGGTTTTTAGACTAATAGAGGATATTTTTATACATGAAACGGTCCATTATTCCATCGATTCGATGTATTGGACCTAGACTGTTAGCAGAAAAACACCCCCAGACCATTACATTGCCTCCACTATGCTTCACAGTCTTATGGCAGTAACGTAAATCGAGGCGTTTTTCGGCCGGTCGACGTAAATGGCTAACGCCATCGCTCCCAATGATGTTGAATATTGACTTGTCACTGAACAGGACAGTTTGCCATTTCTGCACATTCCAGTCAATATGAGATGTAGCAAACAGGAGTCCTTTCTTCTGGTTCTTTAGTGAAATCAGCGGTTTCTTTGCAGGGCATCGAGAAAACAACCCGGCTTCAACAGCACGTCGTCTGATTGTTCAGTCCAATACAGGCAGCTCTAATTGCTTTTATATCTCGACTGATGATATCCAGGGATTCTTCTTGACGGATCTGACAATCATAGAATCCTCTCCAGAAGTGGTGGAATGCGGTCTTCCACCTTCGTTATCTGCAGCCAACTTCCCTGTGAACGATTTTGGAACATAGTCTTGATACGGTCCATTTTTTCATGCGATATTTATCACAAATACTTTTTTGTGACATCCCACTTACATAATCGTCAATAATTTTCTTTCTTAGTTCCAATCCAAGACTGTCAGGAGCCATTTTTGCACTTAAAGTCATAAAAAAAAATTGAAATAAATAATCACGCTTCTTAAGGCTTATCGTGTTACATTTACCTTGTGATGATACAATAATGCTGTGTGGAACACAAGCTTCTGGAAACTTCTGGAAACTTCTTGATACTTCCTTTAATTATTAAAAAACTTCTGTGATGTTGACACGGACCAGACTTGAAACAAACCAAAAATGAAACAAACCAAAAAAGTTGCACTTGTTTTGTCCACTGCAAAATGGCACTTGTCAACGAAATTCTGCCTGTGTGCTGTCACCTGTCAGCTGATTGCTCATGTCATGGCATGCTATGACTCCAGATTCCTAAACCATTTGCTGTATAGTATAGTTTGTTTCGTTTTCAAGACATGTAAAATTAGGAACACTTTTTAGCGTTGTTGGATGTTGGTTGCAAATGTTTTGTCCAATACTGTATATATATATATATATATATATATATATATATATATATATATATATATATATATATATATATATATATATATATATATATATATATATATACATATAAAATGCTAAAAGTCAAGGTTACTACTTGTGTAATAAGTCCTATTACACAAATGAAGAATGAAAAAAGATATTGCAGTGATCTTATTTATTGTGAGTTATTTTTAATGGATCCAAGCACTTTTAGACAGATTATTCAGTACTATTATTATTTTATTCAAGCAAATCTAAATGCAGATATCATATCAGTAACTCAGCAAATCAGTAACAATTTAAAATCTATCTGGGCGATAATAAACCCAAGTTTACTTCTTATAACTGACAAATCCATAAATAGGAAAGTTAAAGATCTTCTTGTACTTGTTAAGGATATTACAAATAGGGCAAGGAAAACGCTAAAAAATCTTGATGCTAACTTGGACAAGCTATTCAATATTTTTGTGTGTTTGTGTACATTAAATGTCTGTCCTTGTAGTGATAGAAAAGTTTTTTGTAATAAAGAAAATTGGATTGAAGAACATATTGTATGTCTTTGCCCTCAAAATACTAATGTACCTTCTTAAAGACAGAGTCTACCTTTGCAATCAGAGGAAAAAAATCTGCACATCAACTTTTGTCCGTTTACAGAATAGCTGCCAAGAATAAAAGATTTGATAAAGATTGATAAAGATTGATAACAAATATCATATGGTAGTTGATAAAGCAAAATCCCATATACAAAATTTATTTAAAGAAATAAGCGGCTCATCTAACAAAGGTAAGTTTTTTATAATTGTATTAAATATTTGTTGTAAATGAAATAGAAAACATTTTTTTTTCAAAACTTTTTTAGAAATGGCAACCAACCAGGCTTAAAATATTATTTGCGTAGCCATATAACCACGCATATAATATTTTGTAACAACCACGGTTTTTAACAAATGCGCTGAAAAAAATAGTTTTTAATTACCTTGAAAATAAATAACTTAACGTTTATTTTTACTAATGTTTTTATATTAGCAAAACGCTTTTAAATATAGTAGCCAATAATTTTAATTAAAGTATCATTGAATGTTGTATAAATTTTTGTTTATATTATTTAATTATATAAGATTTTTTTATAAGTAAAATTTAAAAAAAAAAAAAAAATTTAATTTTATAAGCAACGACTTTAAACAACGATGATCTCTTTAATAAACATTATATAAGAATCATTACAGTTAATTCACTCAAAAAGTAGAAAGATTTTGTTAAAAAATAAAAAATATATAAACTTTTCTGAAAGCTGTTTGAATTAAGTAACTTTGATCTTTACTTAAATAACTTTGTTATTATTAAAACGCTTTTAAATAAAGTAATTGATCACTGCTAATGATTTTTATTAAAATATTAATGAATAATATATGTATTTTTATATTTTTGTATTTTTTTATTATAAATGTCTTTAAATAAAAAACATATCATATCAACTTTTTAAATAAATGATTAGGTTAATGCGAATAATTGTTAAAAATCTTTTTTTTAACTTTTGAATGTGCGCATTTATTAAATGATTGTTAGATGTAAATTATTACTTTATTTAAAAAGGGTTTCGCATAATGTTATATTATAAAATTAGTAAACAATATCGATTTCAAGATGAGTTTTTAAGATGAGTTTTTTTAAGTTTCTTTATAGTTAAGTTGAAGTTCATTTTTTCAACGCGCTCTTAAAATGTATACAAATTTTCAAAACATGTTAACAGCCATGGTCATGTTTTTAAAATCAAATAGTATTTGTGTGGTTATATATTGAGGTGAAATCACACGTCTTCTTAGCCAAGCCTGACCAACAAATAATTCTTCTAGCAATCACTGTCACTTTTTATAACTATTTGGAAACTGTAACTCAGGGTTACAGTTACAAAAGTTATTGCATTTGTAACAACACTTGTGACAATTATTTGATCGCAATATTTTTTATTTTATTTTATTTCAATTCACCTCCCCATGGCCATGAAGGCCACTACAGTCAAGGAGGCTCCAAAACACGAACCTTGATGAAAAAGGCCACTGTGCGTAGAAACAAATTGAGTATGGTACTACCAGGGACGTGGTTGGGATCAAACTCAGAACTTCTTGCTTATGAGACAAGCACTCTACCACTACACTATTACCACAATATATTTAGTAAACTTACAAATCTGCAATGTAAATTTGTATAAAGAAAAGCTTTATGACACTTTTTTTTTTTACTACAAACAAAATTGTTGTTACAAACAAAATTGTTGTTACATACAAAATTGTTGAAGAACTTTTTTATTTAAAAACATAACTTTAATTGTACATAATTAAATATTTTCTTCCATGTTTTTTTTTTTATCAAATCAATAAGTTTTATTACTTTTTTTTCTTTTAATTAAAATAAGCAATAAGAATTTTATCATTTTTTTTATCAAAATTTATTGTCAATTTACTAGTAAGCCAGTTTATATTGTTTTAACTGTTGCTTTTTTTAAAATTATAAAGTGCAACAGAAATTTCATAAGGAAGCAAACCAAGGTTTGTTTTTAAGTTTGAAATAAGTTGTATATAATACTCATTTGTTTAATTTTAACTTGATAAAAAAAAATCAAATTTAATTTCATTGACAAAATAAAACCAAAACAGAATTTCACTTTTAAAAATTAACTTTTTAACAAAACTCTATTTAAGTATATAATACTATTGTATATTTCAAACGCTGGCAATAGTACTAGCACGTGATAAACTTGTTATGACTTTTTTTTATTTTTACGTTCTAAATCATTTCATAATAGTGCTAACTTCATTACTACAAATCTATTATATCATTATGAGTTAGTTTCTCAAGATTTTTAAAAATACCAAAATGATATATTTTATTTTTTTATTACTTTTATATATATATGTATATATATATATATATATATATATATATATATATATATATATATATATATATATATATATATATATATATATATATATATATATATATATATATATAATATATATATATATATTTTTTGAAGGTCTCTATCATATATCTTTTAACACTTCATTTCTTTAGAGTTACTAATTTAATTTTCGATAGACTGTTTTAATTTGCAAGTTTATTTTAAAGAGGAAATTTAATTGTTGTTTACATTGGCACTTTTTCTAAAATAGCTCTTCTTTTAAATTTGGAGACTGGAGTAACTAACTCAATAAGAGGTCTCATTGAAATTTTTATATCTAAATATAAATAAACTCTTATAAAAGTGCATAAATTTATGATGAAACATGCACATGTGGCTTTATTTAAACCTGCAAAACATCTTCACAAAAAAAAATTATTTAAAAAAACATGATTTTATAAAAATATGAGTTTTAAATTTTAAATTCTAAAGGAAAAAAAATTTCTACCTGGAGTAATCCATTGCTCACCCACAGTTCCTCCATATGGACCATCATTTATTCTAAATGTTCTATGGTTATCATCGCTTGTCCAATTTAGAAGTTCTGTTGATTCTGCACGTTCAAGAACTTCATCATTTAAAATTGCATCTAATTCTTCAGGGTGAATATCAACTGTATCTGATGGGTCAAGAAAAGCAGGTAAAGCAAGACTGAGCTGTTCTTCCATTGCATTGACAAGTAAACTAAATAAAACAAAATGGTTGTGAGTTAAAATTTAATAAAAAAAAAAACCATAAGGTTGCTTTTTTTTTTTTTTGATATAAATAAAAATTATAGATTGTGGGGTAACTTAAAATTTTAAATTTAACTCACGCAAAAGCCTCTTGAATAGATTGAGCAAGTATAGCTTGAGCTGTTTGTGTTAAAGGTCCCAAGTCAATATCTTGACGATAAAAATGCAACAACTCTGATGCATTAGCCATCCAGAAAGCTAATCCTCCAGCTAAACAGTCATTTTCCTAAAACAATATCTATAATTGTAACTTCAACAAATTTTATCAATGAAACAAATTAAAAAATAATTATTACAAAATAAATATAATTCTAAATATAATATAAGCTTAATAAATATATTCATGCTTTTAAGTATACACAAAATCACCTGAATAGTTTGCTGAAGACTGATAGCTATTTGCTTTGTAATATTTCCAACCAATCGAGCTTGTTCAGATGAGTTAATACCAGGATGAAAGCTTTGTGTAAGCACATAGCGAGCAGCAAGATAAAGTGTGTAAGTTGGAGCCAATTTAAAACTGAGAGCAGCTCCATTAACTTCACTGATCACAGCAGCAAAAAAAGCATCTTTACCATTATCAATAAATGAAAGCGAAGCAGGTAGTAAATTATCCACATTGTTTAAACTATTTAAAATGTCTGGAGCAGATTGACGATATTTTCGATAACTATCACGCAAATTACTTGTTTGTGAATGATAACTTGTATCTTGTAAATTGTCAACACTCTAAAATTTTCAATAATTTCATAAAATACTTGTATAGTTACAATAATGTCATCATTATAAGAGAACAACTAGCTTTCTTAAACAACTGAAATTTATAAAAACTACCAGTCAGTCGCATAGCAGAGTGACAAGACAATTGTTAGTTATAACCTAGTATTTACAAATAAAACAATATTTTTAGCCCGCAAGAGGGCTAAAAATATTGTGATTATTTGAACAAAATAACCTTGGCACAATACTCTTTTTAATTTAAATTAACGATCTTCCAGATATTCTCACATCTAAGGTGGCATTGTTGGCTGATGATACTACCATTTATTCTTGTCTTGATAAGAAGCCAACACTCTCTGATTGCTTGAAGGGCCATTTGAGCTTGAAAAAGATCTCACTTCTGCTACAGCATGGGGCTCACAGTAGCTGGTGAAATTTAATTCAGATAAACCCAATTTTTTCCAGCCAATCATTACCACAATAATTTAGATTGTTCTATATTTATGAACTATTATGAGTGATATACTCAACGAGTCATCTACCCTTTATCTTCTAGGAATAACTCTTAATTCAATCTTTCTTGGAAACCATATATCAAATCCATTGCAAAATTAGCATCTGCTAAGGTTGCATCTCTTTATCATTCTCGCCTCTTCTTATTCCAGATTCTATTCTTTATCTCTATAAATCTCAAATCCATCTTTGTATAGAATACTGTTGCCATATCTGAAGCAGATCTTCCAGTGATTAGAAAAGGTGCAAAAATGTATTGTAAACATAGTTGGACCTGCTCTTACAGCCAACCTTCAACCATTATCACATCGTCGTGAAGACGCTTCTCTTTTTCTTTTCTACAAATACTTTAACGGGCACTGCTATAAAGAGCTAGCGTCTCTTGTGTCATTTACTAAAACTCATTCTTGTGTTACTCATCATTCAATTAAGTCTCATATTTTTTCTGTGACTATTTTTCTCTTCTAGTAACTTTTAAATATAGTGGTTGCTTGCAGCCTTGTTAGTGGTTGCTTGCAGCCTTGTTGGAAACAAAGATATTTAAAAAAAAATCAATTTAAATAAATAAAAGTGATAGAGCGTGTAAAAAACTGCAAGCAAAAAATTAAAATGATATCAGACTACCAATAATAGAAGAAGAGCATGATGCTAACCTAATTAAAACTTTTATTGTGTTTTCCTACAGAAAAAAGAGGATAATAGCAATCCTTGTTATTCCACAACTGTTGTTAGAGGCTGTTCGTATTCCTTGTTTTTGAAACTTAATGCTTCCAACTAGTCAGCCATGTCTTTATGACCATTATTCAGGGTGTCTGCCAAAATCTTAAGGTGGATTTCCATGATTTTTCATTGATTATTGATCTCTTTTCCCTAATTTTTATTTCAGTTATTATGAGCTTTTCCAGAATTGTAAAGGATTGGGAAATAATACATGGAAAATTTATGTACAGTTAAAAATAAAGCATTATTATTACATTTATCAAAGTATTGTTATTATGTTGTCATTGTTACTATTGTTATTTAAGTACATTTAAAATTTAATCGAATTAAAATGTAAAAATGTTTTTATTGACTCTATAAACTGTTTTGATAAACAGCATTTAGAACAAAATAAACTTAATTACATAAGTAATGTAAAAGTAAAATATAAAGCTAAAATCAACATATATTTAAAAGATGAAAAATAGACATACACCTAATAGTTTAGAAAAAATAATACTGAAAGAATGATAAAAGTTTAAACAAAATTTTTATTTCTTGTTAAAAAGTATTGCTACATAATCATTAAAACTCTTTTCAAAAATAAATAATAACTTAAATAATATACTTTTAAATATAATATATATAATATAATATAATATAATCTATATAATATAGTATAATCTATATAAATTTAGATTTTATTGCATATAAAAAATAATAACCTAATATTTAAAATTTCAAAGTTCTTTACATTTTTTTAAATAATAACCAATTGTTTCATATATTTTTTTAATCTCTCCTTTTCTTCTTTTTCCTCTCTTCAAGAATAACTTTTGCTTTAATAGCATAAGTATGAGCTTTTTCAGCATCATTTACAGCTTTCACAAGAATTGCTTCTGAATCACTTTTTAGTTTTTTTTTTTACTTTTTCCAGAATAAACTTTTTAGATTATAAGTCCTTTATGTCATTTTTCTCTTTCAGACATCTGTAACCTCAGTTTCTTTTCGAGCAGCCATTTCAATCTTTTGTTGAATCTGTAATTTTTTAACAAATTTTTTATCTCAGTTCCTTAGAGATAACTATAGATTCCGGATTTCAAGAAAGTCAAAAGCTTTCATATGCTTTCATGACCATACACAATTCTCTGGCTTATTAATGATTTACTCATTAAATTAGGTTGTAACATATTCTTGTTAATGTTAAACCCTCTTTTAATCGCTGCTTGACCATGAAAAAGAGTCAACATCATTTTGATTAATTTGGACAGTGCCGGATAATCATCCAAACCACCAACTTTAGGAAAAAAGAACTCATCCAATATCATCTATTTTGTTAAAATTCATGAAGAGTTCCCAGTTTTTCGAAACCCTAACCTTATCTTTTCAAAATATCTCTTGAATTCAGTTTTTACTTCATCTCCACCTTTTGGGGTAACTAAATCATTTTGGGGTAGTCAAGCTATCAACCAAATCACTTCTCCTTTCCTTTACCATTTTTTTAATGCACATTATTTCTGGGTCAAAACATTTTCGATTTTGCACAATGGCATATTTTAAAGGTGATTTTTCCACAAACCTACATGCCAACAACTATAGAAAAACATATGCAACTGTAGTTGAAATCATAAATATCTTTTGGAATGATTTCATCATTTGTTTTTTTATTCTTTATAACAGTGCTGGCACCATATCCAATATCTTGCTTTTTGAAATTTTTTTTCTTTTATAAAATCCAATTTGCAGAAGCTATTTGCAGTTTTATACTGATCTAAAATATTAGCTATAATGAACTTTGACATTATGTCTTTTAATAGTTGATAAAGGTTGTCATATAAATATCATAGGCTCAGCATATTGATATATGGTATAAAAAAGATTGCATAATATGAGCTATATGAGCAAAGAAATAAAATTTTGCTAAAATTAGAAGATCCTTAGCATCAGATAATTTGGTAGCTCATGCATGAAGGCTGATTACTCATTGGCAGAGATTCCCAAAACCTACATATTTTACAAATACTCTCCAAAATATTAACAGCTCTTAAAGCCACCTTTTTATCATCAACCCATTGAGTACCACAAAAAGAAAGAGAAAATTGATTACTTTCAGTCACAACAGTAAAGTTTCCCCTCCTAGCAGGAAAATCACGGAGAAGTTTATAAAGAGCTTTTAAAATCTTTTTAATACCCCAGTCTGTTTTGCTTTCCCCAGTTTTGAATAATAGATAAATCGAATGAAGACCACAAGATCCAGTTGGAATTAGTTTGTTAACGTCATTTTCAGCACGATAGTTTTGTAAATCAGAGAAGAAGGCCCAATTTGCAATTATAAAAATATTAGTAAAGATAAACGATTCAAAGTTATTTATTAAAGAAAACTGCCAAAATGACATTGATTTTCGATCAACTTTGCCTCGGTCTTTTCGGTCTTGCTTTACCTTTGCACAATATTCGCATAAACTCAAGTCTTGTCTCCAGTAATAATGCATTTCAAGTGGTCCTGATAGTCAGACAACAAAGTTTCACATACATCAATGCGATGCTCTTTATCTTAAAAATTAAGCGATTTTGGCACCACGATTTGGGCTGAGCCAAATTTTAGATTTTTTGGACGTGTCCCTCATCAGGAGATGTTGATGATTGCCCAGATCCTGGTTTGTCATTAACGTCTTCTCAGCCCTCTTTGAACTCATTGTACCACTTATAAACGTTTTTTTGTGCCATAGTTTGATCACCAAAGGCCTTCTGCAACATTTTCAACATCCGCACAAGAATATTCATTCCGCAAACAAAATTTGATGCAAGTTCTTTGCTCAACAAAATCACCCATTGTAGAAATCGAAAAAATTACTTTTGGTTGTTTACAAAAACATGTGTAACTCACAGGTAATTAAACCTTTTGACAAACAGATGCTTGGCAATTGTTATAGACAGTCCTATCAACCTAAGAAAAAAAAATTATCTACCTTCATAATACCCGGGAGTTTTAAATGACAATTTCACTTTTTGATCACAGTAGTATATCTATTATAGCATATTTATGTAACAAATTTTGACCATATTTTTGTTACATTAATTAAACATGAACTTTAAGAAAAAGAAAAAAAAAACAAAGAATAATGAAAGAAAAGATTTCTGCACTATGCCAAACCCTCAGTCAATGTAGCAGCACTCCGCTGCAAGTCAGGCTATTTGTCAGTTGATGTATGTACTGAAGCTCTCGGCAGCAGGCTATTTCAGTATGACGTCAGACTACTCACCTAAACCAGCAGTATATAAGATAATAACATACACCTGTGTGTTTACTACCATGTTGTTATCAATTAAACAATAATTCCACAAACACAAAATTTGAGTAAAGATATAAACAGAGTTTTACCTATAATACAAGCCTTTGTTCTTTTAACTGTGATTTTAAAAAACGAAAATTCTTTCTGTTAGGAAAGTGATTTTCACTGATGAGAACATTTCTATGCTGAATTAATACAGAGCAAAACAGAAGTTGAATAAAAATATAAGGATTTGAGAGAAGATTTATAGACATAGCCAAAGCAATTTTTAAAAATCTGTGGAGTGACTAAACATTTAATTTCTTAATGCTTAAGATTATAAGCAATGAATAATTTTTTAATTAAACATATGCTAAAAAACAGAAATGTTATGAAAATAAACAAAAAGCAAAACAACTATTGGTGAGCATGTTAAAAAAATAAAACAAGTGAAAAAATATATTGGTTCCAAAAAAAAAAAAGAAAAAAATAATAATAATAATTTGTTCATTTAGCAAGAACTTAGTAGTTTAAAGTAAAAATTTAAAAACCTTCTAAAAACAAAATGAAAATTTCTATGGCTTGATAAAACTTTTTCTTTTATATTAGAGTTATTATTATTTAAAAAAAGGCATTTACTAATATTAGTATTATAGTGTAACATTTTACCTTTGCAGAGTACATTTGTTTTTTCGTTTTGTTTGTTTCCACTTCACCACTCACACCAAAGGTTGTTTCAAGAGTGTGGTCATCATCAACAATGCTCCCTTTTTCATTAAGAATGAGCTCCATCATTTCAGGTGATATTGAAGAATGAGTACTACAATAAATATCAAAGTAACAAACATAATAAATATATACCTAAAAATATACCTATATAACACTGGGATAATTTAAAATTTAGTTTTTAGGTCATATAGTGATATATATTTAAAGACTTTTAATTCTTATTTTGATCATACCATGTTATGAGTATTGTCTTTTTACAATTTTTTCAATTTTATATCAATTGAATTTAGTACTTGTTCTTTTATTACTTTGCGTTTAAGTTAAAATTAAAGAATAAAAATCAAAGAAATTAAATTGAAGAAAAATTTTTCTTAAAAAATGCAGTCACAATTTAAATTTTTTTATGTAAAAATGTTTTTTAAAATACTATCTTTTTTATTTAAAATTAAGTTCACATATTTAATAAAATTAATGAGAATTAGTAAATAATTGATAATAAATTTCATCAAATCAGATTTTATTTTATGAATGAATACCAAAGTCTCTCTCTCAAGCCTAACTTGTAATTTAATTCATCACTTAAATTTTGTGATAATGTAACTAAACATTAATTTATAACTTTATCACATGAAAGTAATAGTGATTTCTTCGGCTAACCGTATTGGTGGTTAACTGGTGGTGGTAAACCGACTTTTTTGACTTTTTAGTTTTTAAAAACACTTTTTTATTAAGTTGATTTTAAAAAATTAAACACAATTAATTGATTTTAAAATGCTTATATAAAACGTAAATGACATAATTTATTTGAGTTAAATTACATAACTTAAGTTGTCACGATTTGTTTGAAAGTGGAAAACTTTCAACAATGTTGAAAGTTTTCCACTTTCAACATTGTTGTTGTTGCTCACGTTCATAAAATCCAATCATTGTTAAAAGTCATGTTAATAAAATTAATCATAAAAATAGTTTAATTTATTATATAAAATAAATACTTATACAAATAAAATAAAATTATAAACAATATTCTTTGATAATTTAAATGAAATGTGTTTATTGATGATTTACATGCAAATCATAGAAAAATTGATTTATTTTTGCGTACAAGCCAACAACAAATGCCAGCTAACTACCAATAACTTTTAGACAGCAGATGCAGATTTACATAGCAGAAGCTGCTGCACCACTCACGGGAGATCCACTAATGTGGTGAAAATTGAATAGTTTTCGATTCAATCTTCTTTCTCGTTTGGCTGCATAGCTTTTCTGCATGGCAGCAACCAGTTGTCCAAATGAGCAAGTATTTTCAACACCGGAAATGTTATTACAAAGAAAAGAAATAAATTAATGCCAGAATATGCAGGGATGCTGGTTTTTCTGTATGAAAACTCAGAGTTACGTGGAAACTTGACTGCTGATAATGAAGAAGATGATGATGAAATTCAAATCAGCAGTGATGTTGAGATGATTAATGACAATGATGGTAATTAAACAATACTTGTACATTATTCCTACCTTTTTTAATTTCTGTTCTTTTTTACCTTTTTCCATGTTTTTTTGTAAATATATAATATAGGACTGTAGTCACTGACTGACTTGACAATGTACAGTTTAACATTGATTTTTAAAAATTAGTTTAAACAAAACATTACATTCGTTGAAATTTAGAAGATCCTGTATTCAGAAAGTGTCACTAATGACAATGAGTACTAACTACATCGGTTCCCAAACCGTCATGTCTGACGGGCAAATATTTAACAAAAGCAAAACAGTTTATGTTTTATAAGACTTTTCGGTTAACCAAATAGTCGGTTAACCCTAAATTGATGGGAACTGTTATCCAGTTTTTTAAACGGATACTAAACAAATACCAGGTAATAAATATCAGGTTCACCAAACATGTTCACAAAATTATAAAAATAAGAATTTAAATTACTTGCTTTTCTACTAAAGTATGCACAGCCTTTTTTCTCCAAGCTATCAGTTTACATTTTTGCATTTAATTTTTAACCCCCAACATACCTCTTAGGACATTAAATTGATTTGATCCTTGTCAATGGCTATCCTAAAATGTGCTACAAATGGGTGTAAAAATATGTTGTATTTATTTTTATTAAAAAAAAATGTTACAAAAGGTTTAAAAAGCAAATAGAAAATTTTTTAATATAAAATACTTCTTGTTTAAAATACTTTGATTTTAGCATATTACAGCTGCTAGAGAAAGAAAACATAACTAATTTGCAATTTCAAGCAATTCTAACCACTGTCAATTGGTTAAGAATTTTTATAATAAAATCTGCATTTAACTCTTTTACTCTCTATTCACACTTTAATAAAATTATTTTAAAAAAGCTCAAACAGAACTAATTAATTTTTTTTTTTAAAGTTTTAATCATTAAAAAACAAGTTAAAAATTAAGTAAGCTAGAAATCTAAAAGAACCTATAAAATCCAAAAAACCTTCCAATAAAAAAAAATCCCTTAAAAAAATGCTTCTTTGGGTGGTGGTAGTCAATGTTTGCCTTCAATTCTAAATTTTTTATTTTACCAAATTTTTAATTGCAGTACATAACTACAAAACATGAATTAATCAGAAGAGATGATTACAAAAACGGACAAAAGACAAAACAGAAAAAATTTGAAAATCCATACTCCAAACATAAATCAAAACTTTAAATATATAAGATTTCAAAAACATAAAAACAAATCTTAATATTTTTTCTTATACTTTCATGATGTCCACTTTCTATTTAATTGGAAGCACTCATAAACTTTTTAAAAAAACTTAATTAAAATACTTAGTTTACTTCACCCAACACAAATACTTAAACATTTACCTACTTCAATATGCAATGGACACTTGGAAAAATCCTCAAAAGAACTAATATTTAATCAATATAAAAATGCAATAAATACAAGCAAAAAACAGCGTAAATAATATATTAATTCAAACTAAAAAATTTAAAAACATTTTTGAAGACACAGCTGTAAAGTTAGCTGTAGTTGAAAAAGAAATTATTTGAAAAATTAATAATGAGCACAAAAACAAAAAATCCTTTTTCAAAACATCAAATAAAATCACCAAAAATGCAATTGTTCAAACAAAGTAAAAAGCCCCATAAATGCAAAGTGTATACTCACAAACATTATATAAATGCATCATTTCTGCTAAGTACCAGCCCAACAAAGTTTATACTGGTTGAAAGGAGGGTGAGTGGAAATTTAGGTACCATAAATCAATATAAGATAACTGTCAATACAAATAATTTCCAGCCTTATCTGACTACATTTTTGTATTAAAAAAAATAATAATAACATTTGTGGTCTATACTGAAATCTGTACCTCTCTACAGTTTTTATTGTCTCGTACTTTTATTTTCATGCCTTGCGATCATACATTGACTAATATAGCCATATACCCAGCAGAGTTTACGTTAACTATAATTATCTACATTAACTATAGGTTTTCAATTGGAAGGCAATTTAATATTTAAAAAAAGAAAAAGAAGTATCTATTTTTTAATTGCCTTTTAGTTTTTGATTTAAAGTGATATTACTATAGCGTATATAGATAAACTAAACTTCACAAAAATTAGACTAAATTTCTTTTAGAACATAGACATTAAACGTATCAAGAAACCATTTACCAAAAAAAAAAATTATATTATGTGTATATAGGCTTGGACAGAAATGGCGTGCGATCGAGTGATATTGCTGACCATGCAAATGATTTTATTTTTTGACAACTTGACCACGATTGTTTAATAAACAATGTTTACATGTTTTGATGAGTTAAAAATTTCAAAAATGTTCTGAATGTCTTTCTGAAACGCTAAGCTAAACTTAAACTAGGAAAAAAATTAAAAAAAAAACTAACAAAAAAAAAATTCCTAACAACAAAAGAAACGAAAAACAAAATCATAACAAAAAAGAAATCTTATAAGCACTAAAACGAAAATAAAGACAAACTCCAAGCAAAACTTTTTGTTACGTTTTTAATTACATATGAAATAAACGTTATTAAAGCTTAGCTTTTTAAGCGTTTAAGTTACGCAAAACGTTTTTAAATTAAGTAACAAATTACTACTAATGATTGGTTTAATAAAAAAAAAATTTTATTAAATTTATTAAAAAGTGTTTTATATAATATTTTTAAATTGTATAAACATTTATTTTGTCAAAAAAGTTGCAAAAAAAAAAATTGTTTAAAAAATAACGTAGTCTTTTTAAAATAGTAATTTTTACTAATTTCATGCTCTAATTAGTGAGTCTAATTAAAAAAAAAAGTTTTGAACTTTTTTATTCATAAAAATAGAAAAAAATAAATAAATAAAATGCGCCTGCAATTTAAATAAAATAAACTGCCAACAAACTTTTTCATTTAATTTTAATTTGAGCATTACAACTTTATTAATAAGCGCTTCACGCAACGAATTTAAAAACTATTATAAAAGATTCAATCTCATTCATTTCTAAAGAAATTGAAAAAAAAAATGATTACAAAAAAAAATGTTTATTTAAAACATTTTTAAAAATCCTAAGTTTAATCATAAAAATTAATCGTATGAACATTACAAAATGCTTTAAAACTTTTTCATTAAATCAACAAAATACATGCTTATATAAGTAAATAAAGTTATTTCATATTCTTGTATAATTCACATAAAATGTGTAAAAGTTAGTAGTCACAAAAGCTTTTGAACTATTCACAACTTAAAGTAACTTAAAAATATTATTTCTAAAAATTATGGTTTAAAAATGTTTTAGGAAGACATAAGAAAATAGTTTCAAATGTTTAAATTTATCATAAAAAGTAAATGCCTACATAAAAAAAACTTATTTACAATGTTTTTTATTAATTTACACAAGCGTTTATGTAAACAATAACTATAATTAATTATATAGTTTTATTTTAAGCCTTTGCGTAGAATAAAAAACTTTAGAAAAGATCAACGATTGAAAGATATTTATAATGTAACACTTTTTTTATTGCATTCAAATTGTTAAAACATCAAAATAGCCGTGGTCAAGTTGTAAAGAAATAAAAATATTAGCGTGGTCAGTTACAGAGTGCAATCGAATGCCATTCCTGTCCAAGCCTATATATATAATATATTCTTGCATGGTTGTTAGATATTTTTTATATGCTGCTTTAATTTAAATGCTAATCTTTAGCTTTTTAGTAAAAAGAAAGACTGGAATAAAATAAAAGAGCTTTTTTCTTTTATTTAAAAAATTGCCTACTCAAATCAAAACCCTTAATTGATCTGTGCACTCTTTTTACCAATGTTTACCTATGTACACTCCACTGCAACTATAGCTATACCAGTATATGTACATATATTTAGTGTGAATAATATATATTGTTTTGAGTAATTTATTTTAATTTTATTATAAAAATAATAATTAAAACACTTACTCTTTTTTATTGTTTAATGGTAAATCATTATTTGATGAATGTATTAGTGATTCTCTGAACCCCCCACTAGCTATGCTGCTTGCATCATCAGCATCATCTAAAGGGTTACAAAATCGAAACGTATGAAGCCCACCAAATTGTACAATATCACCTGATTTTAACAGTGAAGTGTCATAAATTCTTTTGCCAAGTATACGTACATCTGCATCAGGACCATGAGGTACCATAGACACAGTTCCATCTGCATTTACAATTGAACAATGTGATGGAAGAATTTTAGGTGAAAAAAGTTGCATGTACTGCACATCTGACGAAGGATTTCTACTACTTCCTATAACAGTTTCATGCGGTTTTATATAATATATTTTTGGTTTATAATTTATTTCTTTTCCTTCAGGAGTAAGTTCTAAAAAGTAAGGCATCAAATCCTTGCTAATATTGTCAGATGTTCCTCTTCGGGCATCAGAAGGCTGTTGGGCAGGTGGAGTTTTTGGAAGCTCAACTTTACTTTTTTTTGCGTTCATTGACAGACTAAGAGATCTTTTTGTTGTCGCAACTTCCTTTGGAGCTGGAGGGGGCTCCGGTACACCATGTTTTCTTCTTAAATGAAAAGTTAAAATACCTTTTGACTTAGGCCAACTATTCTGAATAGCTAAAGGGCAATCATGAGCCCTAATAACTCTTTCTTTACAAAGATTTACAGAATCTTTAGAGTCTGCAGGGGGTATAATTGCCATGACAATACAAAAATTATTAGGATGTTCTTTTGTTATTAAAAATTTATCCAATGCTGCAATTATTACAGTTTCAGCATTGTCTTTAACAGAAGCTAAAATAGTTTTATAAGGAATTTCAGGCTTTAAGCTTTCTGCAAATATTTTTAAAATTCCGCCCGTTTGAGGTCCTTCTTTATTTTGAAACTCTTTAATCCTTTTCTCAAGCTTTTGCTGACGCCTTCTTCGCATAACTGCTTCAGGATTAGATATTGTTCTAGTAAGACTACTCTCAGGCAGTTCATTATAAACTTTATCAACAAGAGCTTTATCATTATTTTTACTGCGAAGGTCATATTCTTCTTTGCGTTTTTTTTTTAAATCTTTTTTCTCTCTACGAGAAAGCCGCCTTTTTAACTGTCCTTCATCTTGGTTTATTTCAAAAAACTTAAGTGGCTGTATTTTAACATTTCCATCTTTTAATACAAACCGACCTTCTCTATCATCTTTATGCCAAAAAAGTTGAACAAGAAGAGGTTTTTCATCTAAACTTAATTTTCTAACATCTAAAAAAAAAAAGTTTTTTATCATAAAAAAACATAAGATGGAATTTATACTAACCTTTATTAAAAAAATATTTTAAATAAATAAAAATTACCTCCAGTTCCATGAATTTCATATAGTTCATAATTTGGAGTTGCTAACATTTTCATATCAGGACAAAACTTTTCAATGAGAATTGGCATTATATTACGCACAGTCTGTTCATTATTCACTCGAATACATTTTGTAACAGCTTTTTGACCTCTGTCTTGAAAATAAAACCGCATAACTCCAGAAAACTGCAAATCCTATGATTAAAAATTTTAAATTTTAAAAATAAATTTAAGATCTAAAGAAAGAAGTTTTACGCATAAAAATAAATCAACTTTTGACTTGAGTTGTCAAATAATCAAATTGAGCGAATAAAAGTCAACAGATTATGTAAAGCTAGTATGGTAAACTATATAATTTTGTGGTAGAGTAATTTAACCAATAACATTTTATATTTAAATGTTTTCGGCTAAATTAAAAAAGCAAAATATTAAAGGAAATTATCAAATTAAATATTTGTATGATTAGGAGTTTCCAAAACAAATATATTTATGAAAAAAAATTTGATTTTTGATCTGCAATAAATTTTTTTTGTATTATTAATAAAATTTTAAAATAATCATTAGCAAGTTTACAAACAAATAAAAAGCCTTCCCAGGAAATGCGTGCGGTTTTTTGTCTTGCGTGTATTTTAATTTAGACAACTTGGTCACGGTCGTTTGCAAGTTTTTTTATATTAGGCATTGCGCAAAAAACTGTTTTTATTTTTGTGTTTTTAAAGTGGTTGTTACTTTCAACAACAAAATTTGGCAAAGCAAAAAAAAAAAAAAACAGTTTAAATAAATATTAAAAAGAATGATTTGTCCTATATTTTATTTGTTTTTTATTTAAAAAGGAAAGCAAAAATATAAATTGCTATCTGTTTGTAAAATATATTTGTATAATTTTAATGTAACAAGTATATATTGTCCCTATATGAAAATGTCAATGTAATGCATACATATACTTTTATGTATAACTTTTTTATTATTATTATATAATTATATTTATTTTTTTATTAAGTATACACACATTCAGCTCAATTAGATAAGGTGTTTACTTTATACTCAGTATGTCTGTTGTTTGAATCCCACCTCTTCCCAAATTTTTTTTTGTTTTTCTACTCTTCCTTTTGATTCACTATGTTATTGGTATATACATAAACAACTATTAACAATTATTATTAATAATTGAATAACAATTAATAACAACTATTATTAATAATTGTTCACCAATAACATAGTAGACTAAAAGGGAGGGGGCAGGTAGAACTAAACACACTGAGCCGAATATAAAAAAGCAGCAGTATCCGAAATTACAAAGTGCTAAAAGATCAAGGATAAAAAGCGTTCAGGAATAGAAAGGTAATACAGTCAGTAAAATTCAGGTCGGCATTTAACAATACTGACACAAAAGCCGACCTATCTTGGCTTTAGAACGGCATACAACTGCATACCTGAATATCCTAAAGTATCAGCATGCAAATGTAAAAAATATATAACATTCGTTAAATATTATTTTGTAAATTTTTTATTGTAATTACTTGCTTTTCTAGTTTGACATGTTTTATTAAAACACTAATTCATTAATTTTTTTTCAATTCATTTTTTCTTTTTTGCTCAAATTTATTCAAGCATAGCAAGGTTAAAAAATATTACTTTTTAAATGTCTGATGTTCTCATACTTTTTTAAGCGCAATTATTATTTTATTAAGTTATAAAATCTAATTTTAATTTATTTTATTAGGTCAAACCATTTAACTAATAAAACAATTTATTTACATGTTTACAGGTTTTTTTTTAATATTATTTAAGATCAGAAAGTATATTAGGAAAGTTTAGCCTTGGTATAGTTATGTTAAACACATGCGGAGAAGAAACAATTACAAAAGTTTTTTTTAATTTGATAGAAGTTAAGGCTTTTATTAAATTGCAACAGACGCAACAGTAATACAGTAAGCAAACTCAAAACAAGTCATAATGCCTAACAGAACCGTCATTGAAAAATGGGGGTTTAAATCCTGTGGATTTCAAACTGATGATTCAGGTGAAGTATTTTTAATATGGTGTAAAACTTGCCAAGAGTATATAGAGCTTTTAAAAAAGTCATAATAAAAATAAAAGCTGCCCTAAATTAGCAACAGAAATGTTTGTATAGTTTTGTATAGTTCATACTATACTACAATTAAATATTAAAAAACACCACCCCTACTACTGGAGAATTAAATGCTTATTTTTCGAAGAGGTTAAACAACTGGATGTAAACTGTCTACTATTTTGTTAAACAATTTGCCATTTTAAACAAAATCTTCGCCTACAGCACATAAACTAAATTTGTATTTCTAAACAACGTTCTTTCTATGAGCAATCTAAAAAACCAATCAAAATGTAATAAATAAATTATGACCATTTTTTTTGTAATAAAAAAAAACTTCAAAACTAAAAAATCACTTATTCATAAATTTGCTATATACTTAATTTACTACAAAAAATTTAATTGCTACATTCTTTAAAATATTATTGTCTGAAGCTATGCTATTATAAAGCAATCCTTTTATAATCAATTAATCATTACCCTATCGTAACAGAAAGCAAAAAAAAATTATTTTTTTTTTTGACGACCTGAAGTCGGCTATGGTTGGCATGCTTGTGCCGACTTAAAATCTTTCGAATTTCGCTGACTCAGGCCTTGTTTTAAAGTGTTACGCCTTGAGCGATTTTTACGTACGCGTAGAGCTGTTTTGGTTAAGCTGCTTTTAATCATTTTTTAGATTTTAAATTAGCGGTAACATAAAAGAAGTAATTAATTTTTAAAAAAATCACATTAACTTTTGAATAACGATATGTTAAAATATTTAGTACAAAAAAGAAGTTATGTTAAAAATAATTGTAGTAACTTTTCATCGCAGTATATCTTGCCTTTTTATGACAACTAATTTTATGCTAAACTTTTTATTCAAATATTTAGTAACATGAAAAATTGTTCGTCAATCCTTAACTACAAATTTTTTGCAAATGTTTTTAATAAAAATTAGTAATTTTTTAAAGTTTTCAGTGAAAAACTTTAAAAAATTCTATATTCCAAATTTATTAATACAGAATATAAATGTTTTTTGTAATATAGATTTTTTGAGAGTTTTTTACTAAATTCTTATTAAAAAACATTTGCAAAAAATTTGTAATTTTTGACATTTTTTTTAATATCTCAAAAAATGTCTTAATATTTTTGTTATTATGATATCAAGACATTTTTGCGAGATATTAAAAAAAATGTGCCAATGAATGAACAATCTATTCATATTGTACTAAAAATTACTTCATTGATTATTACTCTTTGCTTTTCTTGTTAGTTAAAGGTACCTTTACCTTTAAGTTATGCGGGTAGGGGGCGGGCACATAAAAAAAAAATTACCTGTTGCAAATTTTTGAATGAAGGCAATTTGTTAAATTTCTTCTGCGTGCGATTCAATATATTTTTTTTTTCATAAATGAAGTTATATTATAAGGTAAAGAAATCATGAGTAGACTATAACATCCGCCGATGACACTAATATTATGTTGAATATATTTATATAACGGAGGTTTCATTATGCATGCGCACATTACAGACTCCGTTAAATGAATACTAAGGCACGTTTTAGTTTAATGACAGTCTCTATTTTTTACTAATGACTATGTATTTTTCTGTATAAAATAAGACAAACTAGTATGTAAAAACCTAGTATATTTCTATTCTCTTCAAATTGTTTAAAGTTCGAATATGGAATGTATTTTGAAGGACAAAAGATTTACTTTGAAAACTTTTAAATCTTTGGACTTTGCCGATGCTTTTCTAATTGAAACTATCACAGAAAAAGAGAAGACTTACTTTATTAAAATCAAATGTAAGTTATGTGATCTTCATCAAAATAAATTATTATCCAAAACCAATGGTGCCGAAAGGGCAGCTGCCCTACGGTTTATAAATGACACAAGTCATGTTAAAATATTTTAACATGTTACTATATTTTATTTAACTTGGTATATAAATAAAAATAAAAATATAGTTCAATAAATAAATTAAATTTTTTCTTATCAAACATTACCTCATATTTATTCTTTTTTTATTTTATTATTTCAAGTTAAATTGCTTACAAACAAACAAAAAAAAGAGTTTTGTAATTATATGTAGAATGAAAATACTTTTGAGTTTATTTATAAGTTAAGCAACTTAATTTTTAATGAAAAAATTTTAACGAACGTTTATTATAAACAGATACGATTCAAATTATTAAATATACTTATATTATTTTAGTTGAGTATTTTTTTAAGTTTGCACGATTAAAGTTTTGCGTAGAAGTATTTGTTTTTTTTTGTTTTAAGAATAATTAACAAAAGAGTTTGAATAATTAAGACTTTTATATTTAATTTAATTTTTTTTTTTTTTAATTTCTAAAAATCAAAAAAAAAAAAAGATTTAATCCTTTAAAATGATTTTTCTCATGACTTTCAAATGACTTTCTTTGTGATTTATTTAAAATGTAAAACATTTTTACGCTAACATAAAAAATTTATAAATTAAATTCCTGGCGAACGCGTTCTTAAAGTATGTATCAAAAATATGCTCAAAGCAGACATGAAACTTTTTGATATTTTTATATAACGCAAGTTCAAACGCTAAGCAACATAAATTTAAAAAATATTTAAAAACCTAAATTATTCTTTGCTAGTCAAAACAAAATCGCTGTTTATATAATTAACAAGGGTTTAATTAAAAATAATTAAGGGTTTTTGTTTATTAAATTAATATTTTTTGTTTACTCCAGAAATTTTTAAAAATAAAAAAAATCATTATTATTTTTTATTCAATAACGATTTATAAACAATAATTATTCAAAAACAAATTTCAGAAATAATTTATATATATATATATATATATATATATATATATATATATATATATATATATATATATATATATATATATATATATATATATATATATATATATATATGTATACATATATATATATATATATATATAAATATATTTATATATATATATATATATATATATACACATATATATATATATATATATATATATATATATATATATATATATATATATATATATATATATATATATATATATATATATATATATATATATATATATATATATATATATATATATATATTGATGATACTTTATTAGAAATTTAAGATTTATAAACACA